CAATATAGTGAGACCTTGGTATCTTCTGGGGTTTGGTTCCCCCATAGATACCAGAATCTGTGGATGCTCAAGTTCCATTATATACAATGGTGTAATAAAATAATGTCCCTTATTTTAAAAATTGGCAAAAGCAAGGTTTGCTTTATGAAATTTTTTTGGGGGGGGATATTTTCATGGCTGAATCCATGAATGCAGAATTTGTGGATACAGTGGGCCAACTGTTATATATGATTGATTCAATGTCCAATAACTATACTGTTGGGGTATGCAGACAGCAAGATCTAGCATACACACATGCAGAGTAGTTGAATGTAGGCAGGAATGCCCAGAAGCAATCCATGATGCATGCCTGGCTTGTCCCATCCACTGTGCATGTTGCATCGGGCTTCCCATGATGCACAGCTTACCAATTGCTGACTCATGCACCTGTCACTTGAGCTGTAGTAACCCTGTTACTATTGCTCCAGTTCCTCTCAGTGGCCACATCCATGTCATTTTCTAGACCAGGGTGTCACATGGTCTTGACATATACTTCTCACCAATCTGCTGAAAAGATAACTCACTACAGGACCTAATGGACCATTGTGGAATTAATGAGCTGAAGGCCATGATACCCATTATGTGATTGGTTCAGCAACTGTGGGATCCAGCAAACTGAAATGATGTATATTTATGCTACACTAAAAATAGGAACTTGATCATAGCATAGGTAGATATATACTATGGAAACACTAACTGGAGAGGATAGTAATTGTATAATGCCAAGAGATTACTCAAAGTGCATACAGAACAACTAGAGCTTGGGGCTGGAAAGCTCTACTGCTTTATGCATGCCAAAGAGACTTAGCCATTTTGTTATCTGTATTTCCTTCAGATAAATTCCATTCATCCTCTAATCTCACTTTAGAATGTGTAGGCTATTCTTACCAAAATCTATTCCCTCAGTGTGGGTAAACATGGCCATGTCTTTGAAAGGCCAGTTTGGAATGTCAATGTAGTCAGCACTGCAAAATAAATGAACTGGAATTTGTAGCTTTATTCTAAAGGATTTTAAAAAAAATCTAGGCTAAGGACATCCAAGGCTGGAGAACAGTATCCCCTGAGTCTTGCATAAATATAGACAGAGATTAAAAATAGTTGTATTCCATAGACATTTTTCTTATCCTGTAATTATGGTTAACAGAAGGAGCAGAGATGCACGGAATTGTGTGAAGAAAATCAAAAGTATAAATAATTTTTTTTCTAAAAAAATCTTTTTTTTTCATTTTCAGTACATCCATCATTTTTTAAAAATCCATCATATTTTAAAATCTTACAGGAAAAGAAAAAAAAACATGACATTTTTAGATCAATAATATCAAAAAGTATGCTGGATTTTAATCCTGAAACTATATATTATATTATATATGTTTCAGCACATTATATAAAAAAGGATCTTTGTCTCTCTATACATAGATATATTCTCCTTACTTATATATTTAGATAAATAGTGAAATAGGTAAAAATATTTGATAAGATTTTATATTGCTCAATTATATCAAAAATATGTTGCTTTCAATTATAATTTATCTGAAAACTATATATTATATACTTTAAAAATATTATATAAAAAGGACATATCTGTATATCCATCTTTCATTCCATAGATGTATTCTCATATGTATATGGTTATATAATAGTGGTGTGTGTTTTAAAGTGGATGTAAAACCTGGAATGTTTAAAAAATTAAAGTTGGGCTTAATATTTCCTTCAACCCGTAAGCTTCAGTCTACTAAAATTTGCTATATAATCTATTAAATTGTCTAAAAGGCAAAGAATAGAGACATTACTGCTTTGAACTACAACTGAAAAAATCCCCAAGGCAATTTTCTTGTCAAAAATGTATTCTGTGAAATTGTATCTCAATCCTGTTCCCCTCTATTTCCTGACCTGTATTAGACCATGATACAAAAGATCATTTTAGAAGCACAAGCAACAAGACAAAAAATATTCTGAGCCATAGAAGAATTCTTTATGTCAGTCACACTAAGGATTCTCAAGTGTGAAAACTCAGCTTGTTGTCAGTACAACTTGTTGCCAGTTCATGTCTGTTCATGTCTGTTACTATGTAAAGTGTGTGTATATGTGTGTAGTGGGAACCCCATTTAGAGCTCCTTTCAGAATGTCTTTTGCTCAGAGATCAAATAAGTGACACAGAGAATTAACCCAAGCCCAGTTTTATCGTACAGTCAGCACTCCATAATTGCAACTTTGGCTTTTGTAGATTTGTGTAATATGGTCTTTCTAGTAATCTCTAGGTCCTCTAGCATAACTCTGCTGCTCTTTGACTGCAAAGTAGCAATGGAGGAAATAGCGATTCCTAGAAAGAAAAAAGCACTTCTCTAAGCATTTGCAGGCCCTCCAGTATGATTCTGTGGTCAACTTTTTGTGGATGTTGATCACAGAGGTGCACTGGAAGATTTAGAGATTCCCTGAGAGATGTTCTTGCAGGTTAAAATAATAGCATTTTCTTATTTGTGGCTTTTCCACAAAAGGGATCCTGCACCTCCTAAGGCCAGTGAATGTGGAAGGCCCACTGTATTCACACATAGGCAGAGCTTTATGACAAGCAACTATAATTCAGTGTAATGAGATATGTGATTCAGAATCATAGCCATTATTACTGTTAATATTGTTGTATGCCTTACAGTCATTTCTGACTTATGGCAAACCTAAGATGAACCTTTCACAGGGTTTTCTTGGCAGGTTTCTTGTCATTGTCATCCTCTGAGGCTGAGAATGACTTGCCTAGGATCATCCATTCAGTTTCATGGCTGAGCAAGGATTCAAACCCTGTTCTCTAGTGTCATAGTCCAATGCTCAAACCACTATACCACACTGCCTCACATTATTATTGTTAGTAGTAGTAGTAGTAGCAGTGTTTCTCTTCATTCCTATTTTGTGTGGGGATGTTGTGTAGGTGTGTATGTGTCCAAGTTTAAATAGGTAGTTCTCAGTTTTTGTACTTGTCTGCAGAAACCATTAAAGTAGATAATAACATAAAGGTAAAGGTATTCCCCTGTGTCAAGGTTGTCAAGTTGTGTCCAACCATCAGGAACGGTCCTCATCTCCATTACTAAGCCAAAGAGCCAGCGTTGTCAGAGACTACTCTGTGATCATTTGGCCAGCATGATTGTACAGAATGGTATTTACCTTCCCATTGAAATGGTACCTATTTATCTCCTTGCATTTGCATGCTTTGAAACTGCTAGGTTGACAGAAGCTGGGACTAGTGACAGGAGCTCACCCCATCATGCAGCACCTGGACCTTGAACTGCCAACCTGCCGATCTTTCAATCAACAGAGTCAGGGTTTTACCCACTTGAGACACTGTATCCCTAAACTTAGGATGTATGAAAATAAAAATTCCCCTGACATCCTATTAATAAACAGAATATTGAGGAAGGGGGTTGCAAGAAATCAAACAGCCTTTTGGGCTTGTACCCAGCTTGATCAAATTTACTACAAATAATATATGTCCTCACTACAACAGAGTAGGAAATATGGAAGTTGAAAATCTCAAATATCACTTTGGGAAATATGTTCTACTTCACCACTGTCAGCATCCAGGGAACAAAGATTTTGAAAAAGTTTACTGCATAATCCTTGAAGGAGGTTTACTTGTGATATGGAGTGCAGCTGGTAACATATGTGGAATTCTGCCTACTGACACAGGTGATGTTCAAAAAGCACGTGCACCTACAGAAGATATGGAGGAGAAAGAAAAAGCAAATAAGCTTTGAAACAGTATCTTTTGATTTCAGCACTATCACTTTTGGTGCCCTATAGAGGGTAACAGTGTTGTCAGTTAATGAGCCAGCTTATTTTGAATTTCAAAGGAGTACGAGACACAAACATGAACAAGAAAAGAAAAGAAGAAAGGTTGCACTATATTCTTGCAACCATCTGTCACAAAAAAAAAAAAAATCAGCCTAAAATAATAATCTTGAGAGGAAGAGGCCAGTTCCCTTTTTCCCCTCACCTTTTAAAGATCCCAAATAATTTGCCCAAATTGTGGAATGTTTTCATATCAGAATGGAAAGAAGTTGAGGGTGTGTTTTTTAAAAACAAACAAACAAACTAAAAATAAATAAATAAGTGCAGACAATTCTTCCATCCAGGATTTCATTACTTAACTCTCAAAACTTTGGGTTTGAGCACCTGTGTTCCCATGTTAGTTTTGGATTGGTTTCCCTTTTCTTTTTTTCTTCTTTCTGAATCAATCAATCAATCAATCAATCACATACCTCCTAACCCCATCTCTTCCACAAGACTGTTACTATTCTTAATACCAACCAAAAACATGGTCATCTTCATGTTAGGAATAGCAGTACTGATTGAATTTGACCCATGAAAACCAAGGGAGAATTGCAGTTTGTTGTACCAAAATTCACAATTGTCTTCACATTTGGAATGGGAAATATATGCATTTCGCGTTTCTGAATCTGAATATAGGAAGAACTGACTGCAGGAAAAGCAACATGGGATGCTTGTTGGGAGTGCTAGTTCACAGATAAGTGGTATAGAAATGTACTTGCTATTGCTATCTACAAATCCCAGAATTCCATAGCATTGAGCAATGGTAAGGTAAAGTGGTGTCAAACCACATCATTTCTGCAGTGCAGATAGAGCTATGGACGTATTTTCCATCTCCACTTTGGACTAAAGTCCAAGCAGAGCCTTAACCAAACTGACAAAATATAATGACAAACAATGGCCTTACAAATAGACAAGAAGCTTGCTATGGGCTTCACTTTCTCCATCCTTGACCTAAATCATGCAAAGTTATTTTAGAACCTGAAACAGAATATTCAAGCAGCATTCTCCAGTTCCTTTGCAGTAAAAATGCAATAGTAGCAAATTCAATTATTAATAATTTGCTACCTTCGCATGATACCCATAGTCTGCAGCCTGAAGGGTTTTTTCACTCTGCCTGCTGAGAGAGTTGGCCAGCTCAGAATGACCTGGGCAGTAAACTGAGCAGGCAACAGTTCACCTAGTCAGTTTCCCCTGCTATGGTGAGTATAGACCATTTCTAATTAAATTATAGTAACTATTTCTAAATGTACCTCTTTAAAATGTGTACACTGTGCAATCCCTATTTCCCAAATCTCTACCCTCTTTTGTTCTCTCTTCTTGTAATACATTTCCACTTGAATAAATGCCCTGAAGGCACCAGATTCTGTCTGATCTCATCATTTAAGCAGGGTCACTACTCGGAATGGAGATCTCCAGATAATACCAGGTGCTATAGGCTATATTTCATGGGAAAGCAATGGCAAACCACATTGAGTATCTGAGTATTCACTAGCTTTAAAAAACTTTCTGAAATTCTAGGTGTTGTCCTAAGCTGATAGGTAACTTGAAGCATATATTACTACTACTAAATAATGAGTAAGTGGGCATTACCCCACTTCTGCATCAAGCCTCTACTTTTGATGCAGCCTACTTAGCATGGATTTGGTAGGTTTTTGCTGTCAGAGGTTGTGATGTGTTCCCCGTGGAAACGATGTCTTTGGATACAGCTGTCACACCAAGTTCTTACATAAACTAGAAAAGTGCTGCTTCAGTTACAAAAGCCTGTTTCTGCGGGTCTGTGGATCCTAAAGGACCACATACTAGCCTATATGCTGCAGAGTGGAGAAGAGAGGGTTCAAAAAAGCACCACACTGAATCTTCTATCTCCCCCCTGCCCAATTTTTAATCCACTTTGCCAAGAAACATGTAATTATGCCCAATGCTTTTCTGTCCAGTACACAATTATATTATTTAAATATCATATCTTCATTATTACAGGAATTAATAGATACCTATTCAAGCAAAAAAAGTGGTGCTCAGAGTCACTTAAGTAACTGGAAGACAATGTCAGGGTGTAGCTCATGTACCACTGAATATGTAAAAACTTTGGGTTTACACGCCAGTTCTGCTTAAAATTTCTGTCTATAGCTTTTATAGAGAGGCAGGTGGGCAGAGTGAAGCTAATTATATTGGTCCCCATACCTCCCCTATCCCATACAAGGGCTAGTGTCTGTGTAAGATGGATTTGAGCCCCTATTGTTATTGTTGTTGTGTGTCTTCAAGTCATTTCTGACTTGTTCAGAGAAGGTTTGCCTTTGCCTTTCTCTGAGGCTGAGAGAATATGACTTGCCCAATGTCACCCACTGTGTTTCCATGGCTGAGCAGGGATTTGAATCCTGTTCTCTAGAGCCCTAGGCCAACATTCAAATCATTACACCATGCTAGCTCTCTACAATAGCCAAACCAAATGCTCATGCTGGATAGCTTTCAATAGAGATATTGAGCTCCTATACAATATGTCTGTTGAAAGCTATCCAGCAGCTTTCCCACCAACAAAACCAAAAACACAATGCCATAGATCATGGGTAGGGAATAGTCCCATGTTGGCCAATAGCTCCTGGGATTCTGGGAGCTGAAGCCCCTCAGCCCTTAAAGGGGAAAGGTTGCCTACCCCTGCCATAGATCTTTCCAGGGCATCTCCACCAACTCCACTGTAATCTACCACTTTAAATGTGACGGCCTCCACAGTAACTCAGCAATTCCCACAGGGTGACAGGAGAGACTCTGAGATGACAACATAACTACCATTTCTACTCCTCCTCTTCTTCCTCCTTCCCAGTACAATGCAGGTTGATAGAGAATGCATGAGTTCAGTGGATAGCTACTGTGATTAATGGCTATAAAAATAAAATAAACTTTTATTATAGGAACTCCATTAGAGGCAGGAAAGCTTTTTAAGGGTGCTAAACGAATAAGCTTACCATATTCTAGAATAAAGCGACTTACCTGATCTGGTTTAAGATTTAAAGTGGGCAGCACCCTGATATTATCAGAAGGATTTAGCCACCAAAATCACCACCCAGGTCCATCTCCACTCCCAGGGGCACTCAGTGTGCCTCTTTTCAAAGCCGGGAGTTTTCCAGCTTAAGAAAATGGATGCTGGAGTGGCCCTGGGAGTGGTGATGGACCCAGGATGGACCTGGGCAGTGATCTTGGTGGCTAAATCCTTCTGATAATATCAGGATGCCACCCACTTTAAATTTTAAACCAGATCAGGTGAGTCGCTTTATTATAGAATGTGATAGTTTTACTTTTGGAGAAGTAAAAGAGCAAAAAGGAGGCAGAATGATTCCTAAGAATATAGTATAACAGAGATTACGATAGGTGGATAAGACATGAGATTTAGGACTTTATCACACCAAGCTTGTGAGGCTTGCATTGTGAAATGCAAACATACCAGAGACAGTCATTATCGCACAACTCTTCCAAACTGCCATTCTATTGCTTCTTGTCCTCAACTACAGCCAGCCTCAGTTCCCACAGCTGCTAGGGATG